TTGAATTGAAATTCATCTATTAATTTTACAGTGTAGTTAAATTATGTTCTAACATTTGATGCTGCCCAGGAAGCAGGTGGTGTTGTACATGAGTAAAAACCGAGATAGCCCCGTTTTTCAGAATATTAAGAAACAAGCTCTGGGAACAATCTGTTCTTGCCAACAATGGAATGAATGGATCAATCGTCTGTTCCAAAGTAACGATCTCCAAACTCACCCAATCCTGGTATGACACGGAACTCTTCGTTCAATGCAACATCAATTTCTGAAGTGACAATTTTCAACAATGGGAAACGTTTGCAAACACGATGGATTCCCTCAGGGGCCTCAAGTAAACAAAACAGGAGTAGGATCAGTATGTTATGGAAGAAATGTAGGAGATAAGAAAGGAAAATGTGGGGGTGAAAGCATTTAGAATAACTCACGGAGATTAGGTTCAGGAATATAATGTGGGATTCTGGTACTCCTTTCTGTGTTAGTAATTCAATGGCTTGACTGGCAGAGTTACCTACAAGAAAAAGGCATCAAGGTTGGTTTTTTCATCATTGGGCATAAATGTTTATAAGTGTTTTGCCATCAATATTGTACCAAATTGTAAAACACCAGTTATGAGATGGAGAGGCCTGCTCAAAATCTAATTACTAGTGTTTTGTGATCTGGACCGAACTGCAAAATCTCTTTTTGAATGTTTATAACATTTCCCGGTTCTCCTTGAAATCTGTCAATTTTTCATTTTCAAACAGTTGATTCATTAACCAAAGGAGAAAAAATGAAAAATGGGCAGAACATCAGAATTGGGAAAGAACTATAAAAGTTGAGGGAATAAAGACAAGGTTTACCTGTAGCAAGAACTGGATCCAGAAGCAGTACATGCCGTTCGGAGATATCCTTGGGAAGTTTCTCATATATAAGCTACAAAATTGGGATATAAGGTAATGATTGCTATAAGTTTTAATTCTGCAGTATGCTTAAGCAACATTTCTACTAGTAGGCTGTATTTTAACACCAAATAACATTACAATACTTACCTGTTTACCATTATCATCTCCATCACGGTGAATCAGAATTTTTCCAATTCTTATTCCTTTGCAACATGCACGTAATGCATTTTCCATGCTTTCACCACTGCCATTTAGTAAACAAGAAAAGCCATGTTAGTGGATGCAAAATAAAAGCCTGAAGCTACAAAATCAAAAAAAAAAAATGTTCAGGTATCAAGGCTCAAAATGTACAGCACAACATGAAACATAGCGGAGAAAGAACTTGAGGTATCAACATATAGCTTTATAGTGGAAGACAAAATCTCACCCGGAGTCTCCCCCATTTCGAGTAAAACTTAACCAAGTCGCATTGCCACATAACCAGTACTGATCAAAACAATACCAGATCCAAAACTCACCTTCGAACAATGGAAACCCCACATAGCTTCTTGCAAAAATCAACCCCAGTATATACTGATCCTGAAAGGTAATTCAGCAGCATATTTTAAGGCTAGGCAAAGGGTTGTTAAGCACCAGCATTTATATTCCAGCCAAGCAAAGCTGTCCAAACAAAGTCCCCACTTTTCTTTCTCCCTTAAATACCTGTTGGAGTAACTACTTGCTTCTCAGTGAACGGTAGATGTCCAAGACCATGCTCCACAACCTAAGTAAAAATGAATAAAACAAGCAATATTTTAAACTTTAAGAACAAAATGATCTAATCACTGATCAAAGGAAGAGGTTAATGTTTAACCTATGAAGCAGAACATACCAGACGAATAAGGCGATCAGAATAAAAGATAAAGTCATGCTTTGAAGTCTCTCGATCTCGGATCAGAGTATGCATCCCTCTTATCTGAACCACCAATCACATACATCAGACAAAAAATTGTAACAAAGAACTTAAAGTAACAGAATTGTTGTCATGAAATGAATGAGCAAACGAACTGCCATGCTGGATCTAGACCACCGCTCCATATACCCTGCTTTGTACCATTTTTATTTCAATCAATTACACAGAAATTGAAGACTAGCATCTATTTCATTTTTCTCTGACCACTAAGCTCCACTAAAGCATGCCAGAAGGCATTGTGGTTCATCTAGCATTTTTATCTAAATATTTAAGGGTTATGGTCCATCAAAGACATGGACAGCAATTAATATTAGAGAAGGCATTCAGATACCAAATGCACACATGCTCATCAAAAGAAAGCAAAATGAAACAGATGAAAACAAGTCAATAACAATACCAGAGTGGCAGCATTAACATGACTACATGAGATATACCTGAAACATTGACTGAATCGCTGTGAGGTTGGGATATATTTTGCAGAGATTATGCTGACCAAGCTTAGTGCGGATATGTTGAACAATCAAATCAATGGCAACATGATTACTGGCTCCCCGGGGAATGATCACATCAGCATACTTCTTTGTTGGCAGAACGAAATCATCAAATGCAGGCTTGACAAACTTTGCATACTGCATTGAAGAGGCATTGGTTCTCAATTAAATCATAAGGAAGCACAAACATAATATAACATTACAATTCATGAGCTTTAACTTGTATCCCACACCACTAAGTTGAACATAGGTGTTACCTAGATAGAATTCTGCTGTTTCACAACATAAAAATCTTAGTTTAATTTACACCACTCTGCAGTTGCTTTTATTGAGATGTTTATAGTAAACACACAATAAATGGCATAATTAATAGTACCTTGACAACTAATGATCTTCATGGTAGTAAGGATAGTATAATTTGTTTCGGTGGCAATATTAAACCTCAGGATTTCCTGAACATTAACCTATAACAATGCATATAGATAGAAAGGATAACCTGATCCAATACAGAATTTATATCCCGGCCCCTCTCAACTATATCACGCTTGATTCTACGTGCAAGCCTCACATCATCATCTACAAGTGATTGATTGCCAAATAAAGCAGTGAACCATCAAAGCTAGCAAATTAACAAGCACATCAACACGGACTAAAGCAAGATGCACATGTATGCAAGTAAACTCAGTAATAAATTAAGATTAATATCATTTAATATTGAAACTAGGTTGGGAAAGGAAAAGGAGTATAAATGTATGCAATATAAATGCTAGAGGATGCCTGTGATCATAAGAAACAGCTGAACAAGGTCAAACCTGTATCAAGAAATAACTTCATATTCATAAGGTTGCGAACACGCCGGTCATGAAAAACCAGAATTCCCTCCAAGATAATGACATCTGAGGCATTTACCTGGCGGAAACTATCTGTGAGTCGACTATGGCTCTTAAAATCATAGATTGGAACTTGGTAAGATTGCCCACTCTTAAGCTTCTGAATGCAATCTAATAGCTGCTCCGTGTCAAAAGCATCTACAGCACATATAAAATAACAAATTGTTATAATCAAAGAAAGAAACGACCATTAGGAAACATGCAGGCAGAGGTGAAGCAATACCAGGGTGATCAAAATTATACTCGTGCACACGTCTTGATTCTTCAGGAGTTAAACCACGGTAGAAAGAATCCTACAATATGTGATTTTGATCTCTTAAAGGTTCAGTAATAATTGAAATTTTACTAAAGATTATAGAACGAAAAGCATTGGATGCCAGCACAGCGGACCTGACTGACAAGTACAACACGATGATCACGAAGCTGTTGGATGATCATGTTACATACTGTGGTTTTACCTGAAGCTGTACCTCCTGAGACTCCTACACCAGCCACAACAAGCAAAAGTGAAATTGCACAACATAACAATGGAAATACTACTTCAGTTGGTTTTCATGAATACTACTACTTAAAAGGCAAGAGGGAAAGGGAAAACAAGTGCCGTTAATGGAAGCAAACAAGAAAGGCAGAAGAAATCTTTATCATTTCTATCTCTCCATTTAGAAACGAAGTGAATTTAGAATTACCGATAACGAAGGGCTGCTTGGGGGCATTGGCTTCGGTGGCAGTGGGAGTGGGGAGGCCGAATAAGTTCGGCCCCGAGGCATTCTCCATCTCGTGGTCATCTATCGCTATCAACCTCGTCGTCTCCTCTGACATCTTCCAAAACTGAAACTGGAATCTGTTACACAAAAGGAGGCGCTTCGAGGCTCCAAATGCAAGTAGTTGGTTTCCAACCGTTCACGTATTTATTCTTGTTCTTAATTTTGCGTAAGTATCTGCTCTTCATTAATTTTTTTTGGCCTAAGTATCTGTTCTTTAGTCTTTTCCTTCGGTAAACGCACAGTATCTATTCTCATTCAGTCCTCCCTTGCATAAATTTCACGCTTTTTTTTCTTTAAGATATCTATTTATTTTATAATTAAAATGTATTATTATATACATGTAGTAATATTTTACCTGTAATATTATATATATAATGATATGGGTAAATTTTTAAAATAAAAAGTATAATAACACATAACAATATAAATTTATAATATTACATAAAATTTTCATTATAATTTTTTTTTTCTTACATATTGAAAACATTATTTGGGTATTTATACATGTACTCTAAAATTATTGAAGAAGAAAGAAGAAAGGACAATCAATAACAAAGGATGAAAAACCAATTTGGTGAAATTCCTTAATTGTCAAATACAGTGATGACAATGAATTAAAAATACTAGAAAACAAATCTTACAAAACCAAAAATAGAGTATAATCAACACTTGATGCATCAACTTGGTAGTTAAAAAAAAATTGAGCACTAATCTATCAAACCCGATGGCTCCTCATCTTTACCCAAAAAAAAAGAAAAAAAGAGGAAAGAAAACTCCATGGCTTCAAAACAAGTGAAATAGATCGGTGGTGGCGAGGAAAATTGCAGCAGCTAAAACAAATGGGTTAGCCAAAGGTTGAATAAAACAAGCCCCTGAAGATGAAGGAGTTGACGCAGGGGTAGACGGAGCATTCCCCGCAACGGTCGTGATTTTCACCTTCATCCCCTGGCCGCAGTGTCCCAACGTACCGCAGGCAAAGTACCGGGTTCCGGGTTTGGTCAGCTTCACAACGTCGTTCCCACTGTTCTTGGAGTCCAGTGCTGTTCCCAGGTCGCAGTTCTTGTATGCGGCTTCGCTGCCGAGCTCCACCACGCTGTGCAGCCCCGAAGAGTACTTGAAAACTGTCCGGGAAAAAGACAAGTTTCAGTCCATGACAGATCAGTTCTCCATTATTGGTTTTGTCCTCAAAGCATGATGAGTTTTTCCAAGAAGTATCTATACTTACCAAGTTGGTCTCCGACCTTAAATGTCTGACTGGAAGCCCAAGAGTTAAGATCTACAGATTCACCCCAACCCTGACTGCCGCCGACCACATGCTGTGTGGCTGATGCTTCTTTTCCGATTGCGGCGACAAGCACGATTGACAAGAGAATTTTGGACGACTTAACCAGCCCCATGGCACACTATTTTTCACTTCTTCAATATTCCCCTTTGGAGCCTGTTTGGTATATATAGAAAGAAAACTCTATTGCCACATCTGTTTCATGATTAAGACTTGCTTCTTACAATTATATGATAAATTAATGCCTCTGGTGCTAGATCAAAAAGGAGAAAGACAATGATTTGTGACCTTTGATGTTGAAGTGTTTTGATTGTTCGCGAAGCAAAAACTTAAATCTAGCTTGGCGTTGAAACAAAGTTAACATGCTAATGATTTGTGATTGAGGACCTCCTCGGAAACATTAATTGTATTTTAATCATCACAAGAATATATGCTGATAAAAAAAAAAAAGAAAAAAAAAGAAGAATATATACCAAAGAGGGATCATCACACTAGGATAAAGGAATTTTTAACAAAGTAAAGAACGAACTTATTTACCAATCAGACTAAGTTAAATAATTAGTTTGATGTAGAGGACTTTACTATATGAATCATTACATTTTATAAATATAATTAAACTAATTAAAAGGGTAGATGTTAACACTAAACATTTGTTCCGGCCGTTATTACATAGAACATAATTAACCTAGAGGTAAGGATCATTGCTGGTGTTTTAAGAAAGTAACAACTTGATTATACACTATATCCTTGGCATTCATTCCCATGATGAAATCTGCGTGCCCATAATCCTTGATGTACTGAACATGAAGCTTATCTACGTCATGAAACTTCAGGTTATCGAGCAAGAGATTTACATCCCGAACGTCAGAGAGAGCATCGTGGCCTCCATAGGTCAGGAAGATAGGAAGGTCAAGGGGAATGTTGGAGATATTGTAAACTGGGGGTATTAGTTGTCCATAATGCATCAGGTTGTAGTCCGGTCTGCCGTAGTTGAACTTTGTAATAACCCCATCCCGAACAGCTGCAGTGTTGTTTAGTTTAAGCCTTTGTTATAAAGTAGCAAGGACCATGATATATAATCTAAAGAAAAACGGTATGGTCTGTTAAACTTACTCTGGGCCAAGTGCACCATGTTCTTGGTTGATGTTGGTTGAGGTTCATTCTTTAGAAACAGATCAACCGTTGAAGCATTAAGACAGCAATTAATTCCTTCAAATGGTAGCCGAAAAGAGAAACACATTAGTGCTGTCACAAAATTTTCCTCTTTCAATATCAATCATGTTCTATAAACATCACTTGAGTATGGATCTAGTACCAGTAAGTGAAGATAAGAGGTCATAGCAGTCAACACCCGGATAAGCACAAAGAGACTTGAGGAAATTAGATACAGGCTCTCTGTTGAGGGGAGAAAAGAAAAACCATTAATTTAGAGGACTTCAAAAGGGATTTGTTAACTAAAAGTCTAGGGAAATCTGTATATATCTCACCCTTTTGGATCAAACTCTGCTAATCCAAACAACGTAGTGATCTGTTATGTTCAAACCAGGGTACTGTTTTTAGAGATTAATCATTTTTATGTTGAAATAAACTGATGCCAATGACTAACTGAAAAGCAGTTCTCTTAGTTGCAGTTTACACACCTCACCAACAAAGGCTTTGGCAGCATAAACTCCAAGTGCAGTGGTCATGTGGCTTAGGTAAGCAATGGGGCTCAACAAGGCTGCTGATTTCAGCTTGTCCACCTGATTCCCTTCTGAAAAGGATGCCAAACCTATAAGTGTTCCCTGCAATCAAGGTATAATTATATAAACTGTCAAGATCAGCTCAACCTAAAAGCTTATGCTGAGATATTGAGGGTCAAGAGTGGCTTTTATTCATTAACAGATACATTGTGAGTGCATAGTATCCTAATTCTTTATCAGGAAACTGTTATTAAGTGTTGGCTCACCAGGGAATGGCCAATGTAATGAATCTTCTGTCCTGTTTTGCTGAATACAACCTCAAAAATAGCTGGAAGATCATAGGCAACCAATTCATCCCACGACCAATCCCAAAAGGCCTGCCAATATAAATAAACCCAACATCCAAATTCATTAACAAAATCCCAGAATTATGTTAAACACAAAGGATAGGGAGAGGGGAAAACCGGTTCCATGGGGTCAAGGGAAGTGTGTTTTCTGCAGAATCTGGTGCCTCTGGTGTTAGCAATCCACACGTCAAATCCTCTATCAGCCAAAATCATAGGCAGATTTTGTTCTGGTGAATTCAGGAGCCATGTCATTCCATCCTGCATTCAGACCAGAACAAAACATCTCAGTTTAGTAGATTTCCAGACATAAACTGTCCTGAAGAGAGTTCTCCAGCATAAAAAAACAGACAAAATTAGCAGTCTCATATAGTTTCATGTGCCAGGCCACATAAGGGTCCAGAGTCCAGAAGTTAAGATGTGATCAGAGAGATGTTGAATTCTGGTTCCTTGAACTTTGATTCTAAAAACAGTGCATGATTTTGTGAACTCATCAGGATTTTGTTTTGTCCCACCCCTTCCTACCTTGTGGAGAATAAAAAGCACTAACCTAGGATGAGGACAGACTCGAGGCCTAAATTATGCCTTGGAAATTTATGTGTCACTTTGTGCAATTGGTCTTTTGCAAGAGGATAAAACTTTGAAAAGCCAAAAAAGAAAGAAGAAACAAACAAAACATAATCAAATGTGATGTTGAAAAATTTTCTATGCCAAAATATATTAACTAAATAATCAATAAAGCAATGAGCTGCAAATAACAACCTAAGCTAGATGGAACTAAGGAAGATCATACTTATTCTGGGATTTTTGCATAATTAATTGAACCACTACAATTGGAAGAAGTCTGAAAACGTAAGTCTCATGCTTCCAATAAGTAAATTTGGATTTTGTGTATGAAAACAATGCATGAAATGTGCTAATATTATCAGCTCAGATTAGAGAGTTAGTACAATCATAGCATGATCCATGTGCATGTTTACTTGCATTAAAAGCAATATCAAAAGATGCATTATCAGTAGAGAGAAAGATGTAATGAATGTGGCACAGACGCGGACTGGCTACTATTCACAACAACTCTTTTTGTCATTTCCTAACAACTCGAGCCATGTTCAAACCTTTTAAGAAGATATTCAGGGATTTTTGCAACATCTGTTAATACTAGCTTAACATCGATCAGGCAAAAAAAGAAATAAGAAAAAAACATTCAGACACCCGACCTAAGTTACATAATTTAAGAAATATGAACGCACCACGAGGACACCATGTTGTATTAAGACCGGCTGCCTCTTAGTTCCATATCCACCATCAACACGCCCCTCAGGAATCCTCTGCATACTAAGGATATATCCATCTTGTGTTCTCACCTGGAAAAAAGAAGTACAAAACTCACATGTATCAGCTAGAACACACATCAAACACTTTGAGAACTATTTATCAACCTCCATACATCACCTCGTGTTCCTCGCATTTGTATCCATATATAGTCACCGAGGCAGCACAGATACCTCCAGCTCCAGCCGCTTCAGCATCACCGCTGTCCACCACTCGGAGCATACCTCGGCCCAAGCCATACACCAGTGAAGGCTGCACAAGGGCACAGAAGCTCAACAGAGCCAAACTGAACAACCCAAAAGGAGCCATTTTTCGCAATTGGGTCAGTTCCAGCAATCAAAGCTTGGCTATATGTATATATATATATAAGAGAGAAAAACAGAGTAAGTGACGAATTTTTCCTATTACATGGGAATGACGGGTGGGATCCAGATGAAGAGGTGGGGTCGTGGTTTTCAAGTTGCTACTCCAATCAGGATATGGGCAATTAATGGAGGATGAAACTGATTGCAGTTATGGCGGAGGGAAAGGAAAAAAGGGAAGGGAAAGGGAAAGGGAAAGGGAAAGGGAAAGAAAGAAATGGAGAGATTTATAACGCAGAGTGGGGGCCACATGATGCCATTTGTTTGTTCTTGCTATCTGTCTATATTATATAGATACTGAATGCGAACATGAAATCTGTTCCACCAGCCAGAAAAAAACAATTTTTCTATCTTAAATATTTTTTTATAATTAATTTTTATTAAAAATGTAAATATTGATTTTAATTTAATTAAATAATTAAAATTATTCGCACTTGGCCCGTGTGACCCAGTGGCTAAAATCATTGAAAAGTACACATCCCCTCCCCTGAACAGGTTTGGAACCCACTCCATGACAAAACCGTTCAAAAAATAAATAATAATTAAAATTATTCATATATCGATAATATTAAAATATATATTAATTTTTATAATTTTTAATACATATTAATTATAAAAAAATATATTTATTACAAATTTTTTTTCTTAAAGTATAGGGTAGGTAAATAAAAAAAACAAAAACATGAAATCCCTTACAGCTGTATACTTGCAGACGAAAGATGCGTTCACACCGTCAATACTAGTAAAATAAAATATAAAATTGAAAACAGCTTATTGATTCTAGTGAGTTTATTTGTGTAAACGGAGAGAATGAAGGAACGCACCTGGGACCTGGCGTGACTGCCGGACATACTCAAGAATGATGAATCGTTGAATTCCATTCTGAGAGTATGAGATGGGGTTTTGACTAGTTATGCCGACATTCACATTGGAGCGCCCCAGAATCCACATCCAGTTCAGCTAATGCTCAACAGAAATAATTCAGTTTCATGCATCATCAATGTCAGATCTTTTTGGTGGTTAATCAGTAGTAATCCTGATATTTTTGTAGGAACTGGCAGTCCCATTTGACGCATGAAAGGATAAAGAACAGTAGAGTTAGAAGTAATGACTCTTGTATTAAAAAAGTTACTGCCGGAGGAGGAAAAGGAGGTCGAGGAATCGGGAGATGCATCAAATATTTTAAGGAGGGAGCATTTGGTTTCTCCGATTAATTAACTTAAATTTGATCCACAAGTCTCCTTATTCCGAAGAACATCCAGGTACTACCACAAGAGCAAGGCGTATATCATTGCCATTACAGATATTCTTACAACGAGACTGAGGAATTGACCTGAACTCAGACCCCCACTTCACTACAATGCCCAATCTCTCTCCGACACTCACCCTTACCCTCCTTCCACTCATCTCCACCATTGCCAAATAATCAAAGCTTGAACTTTTTGAGTTCCAACTGGAATTTAGGACAGTGGAAACAGTTGCATAGCTATAGCACGGAGATCGGATGAGACCCACCAAGAGGAGAACGAGATCGGTGAATGGGTAGCGATCTGGATCGTTTTACCTCCGACCCATCTTAGATTTTGACTTGAATATAAGGACCCAGAAAGATGAAGGAAAAATGAAGTCTTGGATGCTTGCCGCAGAGGAAAAGAGATTTGGGTTTTGCGGGAGCGTTTGACTGCTAATCCTAGAGGAGAGTGGAAGCCAGGGATGGGTATTCATGGAGACCGTCGGCGTAATAATTCCAGATAAAACGATGTCGTTATGTTAAGAGCCAACTTCGCCTTTTCTTTCTGCGTTATATCAGCCCAGCCCATCCAAACCCAAGATCACAAATCCCACAGAAGACTGGGTACGGGCCCAAATTGAGCAGCTGAACTCCGCCCTCTCTAGTGTACCCGTTTGGGTCAATATAAATTTGACCCAAAACGATAAAAGGTCATGGTATGACCACAAACACTCATCAGTTATGCCAGTGCATGGTATAAGTTTTAATAATCCAAATTTGAGAGATGAGACAAATAACCACTCAAATTATGGCCTAGATGTTGAGTAATGTCAGTACATGGTGTAAGTAAGATTTAATAATCTAAATTTCAGAGATGATATAACCACTCAAGAGGTAATAAGTTTTTAAAATAATCTATTGGTTTCTACAATGTAGATTGAGAACTTAAATGTGACTGACATGTTTGTTGTTAGTGGAATTGCGCGTGATATTCTATGCTATTACAGATTTAGGAAGT